CATGACCTGAGCTGAAGGCAGACACTTAACCCACTGAGCCACCCAGGTGCCCCCACTTTAGACTTTTAGCTAAAGTCATCCCATTGTTGTTGTTTGTCCTTGTTGTTTTAGGTAATTCACATAACGTACCATTTTAAAATGTACAATTTAGCAGCATTTGTTACATTCACCATGTTGTGCAACCATAATCTTTATTTAATTGCAAGACTTTTTTTTTTTTTTAAGATTTTATTTATTTGACAGAGCCACAGCGAGAGAGGGAACACAGCAGGGGGAGTGGGAGAGGGAGAAGCAGGCCTCCTGCGGAGCAGGGAGCCCGATGCGGGGCTCAATCCCAGGACCCTGGGATCATGACCTGAGCCGAAGGCAGTTGCTTAACCAGCTGAGCCACCCAGGCGCCCCTAATTCCAAGACATTTTCATCACCCCAAAAGGAAATCTCGTGCCAGTTAAGCAGTCAATCCCCATTCCCACCTCCATCCAGCCCTTGGCAACCACTGTCCTGCTTCTTGTCTGTGGACTTACCCATTCTGGATATTTCCTATAAATGGAGTCATATAGCATATGACCTTTTATGTCTGGCTGCTGTCATTTAGCATAATGTTGTCACTTGGTATAGTGTTTTCAAGGTTCATCCATGTTGTGTCATTGCTTCAAATCCACTTTATGGATAATATTCCACCGTACAAATATGAATCATTTTCCATGGCTATTGGGAATAGTGCTGTCATAAAAATTTGTGTACAAGTTTTTGTTTAAGTACATGTTTTCAATTATTTTAGGGACCTAGGAGTGGAATTTTTGAGTCACATGCTAATTGTATGTTTAACTTTCTGAGTTTTCCAAACTGTTTCATGGCAGCTCTATCATTTTACATTCTTGCCAGCAATGTACAAGGATTCCAGTTTTTCCACATCCTCATCAACACTTTTAGTTGTGGGTGTGAAGTGGTATCCTGTTGTGTTTTTGATTTGCCTTTCCCTAATGGCTATGATGTTGAGTATCTTATATGCTTTTTGGCTATTTTTATCTTCTTAACCCTTTATTTTTTAAGTTTATTTATTCAGGTAATCTCTACACCCAATGGGGACCTCATGACCCCAAGATCAAGAGCCTCATGCTCTACCAACTGAGCCAGCCAGGTGCCCCTCTTAACGCTTCATTTTAAAGAATTATTGAATTCTCACCAGTATCACTGGGTTTATTTTTGTTCTATTCCAAGAGACCAAATAAGACCAATAAAGTGATATTTTTTTCTCAAGCTAGTTTACATTTCTAGAGATAAGATAAACCTGTAACCACAAAGTCTTGATTTTTACATTATATAAAGATGTTATTATCTTTCTATTTTCCTAACATATAATGAAGATTTTGTGTTCCATTAAAAAGAAAAAGAACCAGTCATTCTAATAACTCTTTCCTCATGATAAAATGGTTGTGGAGAAAGGTAGACCACAGGGAGGCTTCCAATAGCATGAGTTGCTTGGGCTTCCTTTTCAGTGTCAGAGATTTTGGAATGTCCCCCAACAAACTGGAACAGTATATAAAACTTCACCTTCACTTGGACATCTTGTAATTTCTTCCTTTGATATTTCCATGTGTTCCATTGCTGGTAATAGGATGCCTGCCAAAGAACCACCAGCTAGCTGCCCCAATTCTTTTTTTTTTTTTTTAAAGATATTTTATTTATTTATTTGACAGAGCGAGAGAGCACAAGCAGGGAGAACAGTAGAGGGAGAGGGAGAAGCAGGCTCCCCACCAAGCAGGGAGCCCGATGTGGGGCTCGATCCCAGGACCCTGAGATCATGACCTGAGCCGAAGGCAGACGCCCAACCATCTGAGCCACCCAGGCGCCCCTAGCTGCCCCAATTCT